CTTAAAGGAAAGCCAGCACCCAGGGGCTTCCTGTCATCATAGCATTTTCATTTAGGTGAAGTTGTTATGGTGACCAGAAGGGTCCTTTAATTTGCTTAAAGGAACACTATAGTATCAGGAATACAAACATATATTTCTGACACCATAGTTGTGAAAACGCTATTCACCCTGGCTTTATGTGATAATGGCTATGCCCCTTCCCTTTCATGACACTGTCAAAAAGGTACCAATCATGGATGTCATTACAATTATGCCCCCCCCCTGGAAAAATTCCTACGGACGCCCATGCTCCCTCCTCTCCTCCTCAGCCCCTCCATGATTCTCTTCCCACTCCTCAGCCCCTCTCTGATTCTTATCCCCCTCCCCTCCTCATCCCCTCAATGATTCTCTTCCCCCTCCTCAGCCCCTCCATGATTCACTCCCTCCTCCCCTTCCCTGCCCCTCCATGATTCTCTCCCCCCTCCCCGCCCCTGCCCCTCTATGATTCTCTACCCCCCTCTCCAGCCCCTTCATGATTCTCTACCCTCTCCCCAGCCCCTCCATGATTCTCTTCCCCCCTCCTTACCTGCTTGTCGCACGCGGTACCGGTCTGCCAGGAAGATCTCTCAGTGAGCATTTCCTGTCAGACTGTGCTCCCTCTCGGCAATGCTACACACAGTTTACGGCCGGTCTCTGAGCGACTGTGGGCCCTGGGCCGGTGCGGCTGACTCTGGCTAGACCTCGGCTCTTATTTCGACTGCGCTTTTCTCTGTCTAACGTTAAGTCTGGCCACTCTAAGGCCCGATAATACGTTTATATTTCATTAGTCCGTTCCTTGCTATCCTAAACTCTGTGTGTTAGAGTTAATACTCAGTGATACACACACATATTTGTGTTCAGTGATGTTACATGGGTACAAGAGTACCCCCATGTACAGGTTTTATAAGATTTTGGAAAGTTACAGGGCAAAATTTGAGGCTTTCCAAGTTTTCAGTTTTTACACATTGAAATTAAATTAAATTAAAAGCACGAAGAAGACGAGGAGCGTGAACATCGTATGCAGAGACCCAGCTACGCTCCTCAGGACCATATCCCTTCCAATGGACCAAATACTGGAGATGGCCTTGTAGGAGACGGGAATCAAGCACAGCAGCCACCATATACCTCTTGGCCCTCAACAGACACAGGAGGAGGATTAGATTTAGTTTACACTGCCTTGCAAAAGTATTCACCCCCTTGGCATTTTTTGTGTTTTGTTACATTACAGTTCAATGTTTTATTAATCTGAATTTTATGTGATGGATCAGAACAATAGTGTTGGTGAATTGAAATGAGAAAAATAAATACATAAAATTATTTTTAGAAATAGAAAACAGAAAATTGGCATGTGCGTATGTATCTGGTGCAACCAATTACCTTCAGAAGTCACATAATTAGTGAAATGATGTCCACCTGTGTGTAATCTAAGTGTCACATGATCTGTCATTACATATAAACACCTAAGCAAGAGGCACCACTAACCAAACACTGCCATTAAGACCAAAAAACTGTCCAAACAAGTAAGGGACAATGTTGTTAAGAAGTACAAGTCATGGTTAGGTTATAAAAAAAATATCCAAATCTTTGATGATCCCCAGGAGCACCATCAAATCTATCATAACCAAATGGAAAGAACATGGCACAACAGCAAACCTAGAACAACAATAAGCAAGTGAAAAAAAAGGCGCTTATAATAGTGAAGAAGCCGACCTCTTGACGAAACGCGTTATTTGATTGGCTACGTGACATCATCACGCACAACACGCCTCCCGGAAGTATCCTGTGGACTTTGCCGATCGTGAGGGTGCACAAACTCACAAAAGGACAGTCTTTAACAGGGATCCGGAACATATGAATGGATGCTGTTATTTTTAATACCGTGGAAATAAACAATTTTACCTTATTGGCTCCAGTGGATCTTTCTGCATTTGGTGCTGTTAAAAGTAGAGCAGCTCATCTACACTCTGAAAATTTTACATACACTCTATTATTTTTTTTAAAGCAATACTTCACTATATATGTTTTGTATTGTATTTCTTTTTTTTTATGTACCACTATTTGAAACTAAGGTTTACTTCAAGTATATGACTCTAGTAAGTGTACTATATTTGGTATTTTAATGCACCAGATCACTTTACAATTTTGGCATTAAGCATTTTTTTTTTATACTGCACTTATAAAGAGTGGTATAAGTGTTTGGATGTAGCACTTGCATTTTGCACTTTATGAGAAAGTGGTATAAATTGCACTACCTCACTTTATTGATACAGTGAGTTAAATTTGCACTTTATAAATATTTAGCGCACTTATTTATTTTTCTGGACAACAACAAACCTGCCAAGAGATGGCTGCCTACCAAAACTCACGGACGGGGCAAGGAGGGCATTAATCAGAGAGGCAGCACAGAGACCAAAGGTAACCCTGGAAGAGCTGCAGAGTTCCACAGCAGAGACTGGAATATCTGTACATAAGACGGCAATAAGCCGTAAGCTCCATAGAGTTGGGCTTTATGGCAGAGTGACCAGAAGAAAGCCATTACTTTCAGCAAAAAACAAAATGGCATGTGTTGAGTTTGCGAAAACACATGTGGGAGACTCCCAAAATGTATGGAGGAAGGTGCTCTGGTCTGATGAGACTAAAATTGAACTAAAATTGGCCATCAAAGAAAACACTATGTCTGGCGCAAACCCAACACATCACATCACCCAAAGAACACCATCCCCACAGTGAAACATGGTGGTGGCAGCATCATGCTGTGGGGACGTTTTTCAGCAGCCGGGACTGGGAAACTAGTCCGAGTTGAGGGAAAGATGGATGGTGCTAAATGCAGGGATATTTTTGAGCAAAACCTGTACCACTCTGTACGTGATTTGAGGCTAGGACGGAGGTTCACCTTCCAGCAGGACAATGACCCCAAACACACTGCTAAAGCAACACTTTAACCCCTTAAGGACACATGACATGTCTGACGTCATGATTCCCTTTTATTCCAGAAGTTTGGTCCTTAAGGGGTTAAGGGGAAACATGTAAATGTGTTGGAATGGACTAGTCAAAGCCCAGACCTCAATCCAATAGAAAATCTGTGGTCAGACTTAAAGATTGCTGTTCACAAGCGCAAACCATCCAACTTGAAGGAGCTGGAGCAGTTTTGCAAGGAGGAATGGGCAAAAATCCCAGTGATGACATGTGGCTCATGGAGACTTAGCAACTTGGAGCTGTGATTGCTGCAAAAGGTGGCTCTACAAAGTATTGACTTTAGGGGGGTGAATAGTTATGCACATTGACTTTTTCTGTTATTTTGTCCCATTTGTTGTTTGCTTCACAATAAAAGAAAAAAAATCTTCAAGGTTGTGGGCATGTTCTGTAAATTAAATGATGCAAATCCTCAAACAATCCATGTTAATTCCAGGTTGTGAGGCAACAAAACACGAAAAATGCCAAGGGGGGTGAATACTTTTGCAAGGCACTGTATCTGTTACAAAGGAGGAGTTTCAACAAGGAGGTATGGAAAACAGGTATACGCATGTTCTTATGAAGATCCTGGGCATATGAAACAGGATTCATTTTCCTCGAAATATGGAAAGGGCTGATGAACCTGGGGGACAGTTTAATAGAAGGAACCTGAAGATGAATGTTACGGGTAGAAAGACATATCTTATCCCCCACAACATAAGAGGGAGCTGCCCTACGATGCTTGTTCTAGATAATTTACTGCAAACCAATTAGTTTGAATGACTATCTGTTCCTGTCCAAATTAAAGATAATAAAGTTGCGTGCACGCAGAAGTAAATTCACACTGAGACACAAGGTTCAGGGTAATGAAAGAACTTCAGAGAAGTTTAATGGCTTCTGACAGAAAATGGGTGCGCAGACCCTTATAAAGGCATTATTACATCATTGAAGAAAATCAAGATATAGACAAATAGACACTATTGATTGGTCCAGGTGTTAAGTGGTTAGTTAGGTACCCTCCTATCAAGAGGTGATGTCATCCTTGACACGGGAGTGGACACAAGATGTAGGCGCCATCTTGTTAGCACGAGGTGTTCACTCGATGGGAGGGGTGCTTTGGCAGCCATCCATTTAGAGTGTAGCTGGCACGGTTAGTTTCTCAAGGTTAGGTTTCAAGGCTTTTAGTAAATACACATTTTATCAAAGCTATTTCTTGCTGACATGCAAATTCTATGTTCTATAGACAAAGCTTCCTTGTAAAACTATGGGGGGCCTCCTAGAGGTATAGCAAGAGGATTTAAAGGGGCCTTACAGATTTATAGAGGCCTAATAATTCTACAACAGTCCCCCCTAAAATGTTATTTGCTAAAAGACAAAACTATATTTGTTAGTATCAGAAGATGTGTTAGCCCAAAGACACAGAAACCCCATGACCGCTGACTTAGTGTTAATGCAAAGTGCAAGTCTATCCCTCTCTTGACCCTAACAGGCTGCAGCACATCCGTCAGTACGGTTCAGGAACACTCTTCACTCCGCTGGTAACCCATAGTGGCTTATCCACTACTTCTCCGTACGGCAGTCTACCCATAAAGACGGACGCTGTCCCTGTACTGTCCCTTCCTAGACTTTCTGCACTTCATCAGTATAAGGGAGAGTTTGTAGCGGAATACAGGGTGAGATGAGGTCTTGATCATCGATTGTCAGATGAGTGAAGGTTGGTGTTGCTTGGTCTACAGTTTTCTGCAGGAATTTCCTTAGGCATGGGAGGACACAACAAATGAGAAGAGCGAGAATAAAAAGAAAAATTAGTAAGGCAATACCAATCTGGACTAAAGCTCTCTGCCAACCAGTCATCCAACCAAACCATTTTTCCCAGGGATCAGTAACTCCAGAGTTTCTCTTTAACTCTTCAGAGAGTCTATTTAATTTAGCTATGGCCAGAGTGACTTTACCATTAGGACCTGTGTTTTCTGGAATGTAAGTGCAACAAGTCATAGTGTCGGGAAGTATTTTACAGACCCCCCCTTTTTCGGCTAAGATCATGTCTAAGGCCAGTCTGTTCTGGAAGGTCATTTGGGATGTGGCCTGTAATTGCTCGGCCAAGCCCTGGAGGGCATCCCTGGTGTAGTTCACGAAGCGCTGTTGGTTGTAATAGATATAATTAATCCAATTAAGGTTTTTGTTGGCAGTGACTATGGTAAAAAGTGATTCAAAACCTGCAGCTACTTCATCTCTAGCTTTAAATTCATTAGGCACCCCCCTAGGCACCCCAATGGCATCTATGTAAATGTGGGGGTCAAAACTGCCTTTTACTGGGGTTTCGCGCCTTACTCTGGCTGATGTATGTGGAGGGTCGTATGTGTCATGATGATTATCAGAAATAATATGAATGGGCATGATAACTTTGGCCAGGGTACACTCACCCCACCACTCAGTTTCCAGCCTAGATCTTAACTGTAGATCCCCACATAACCAGTAAATATCCCCCAATGACCTAGTATGGTGTTGCAACAGGCGTATAGGAACAGTTCTGTAAGTGGCGCAATAACCTTTAGAAAAGTTACCCATGAATTTACCAATCCCGTCATACATGGCATAACAAGTGTAATTACCTCTATAGACTGTGACCCCATCTGGTGGCTTAACATTTTCAACTAAGAGAGGGTATTCTGCCGTCCATGCCATGCAGAGGGACCTATTAAAGTCATATTGGTAGGCAAAAAGGCTTAAGAAGCAATCTTCTATCTCTAAAGGGAGAATTAGGGGGACGGTGCCAAGGTGGGGTCGGGCACCGCCACATACATAACATGCTGTTTTATTATGTTTGTTGGCATTATACCTCATCCATTCTAACCACAAACTAATGTCATTGAATCCAGTTTCAGCGGCCATGGTATCTTCAAAAGTGGGGTTAGCGATGGCCATCATATCTTTAAAGGACTGGATATGTGGTTTTAGCGGATTTGGGACCATATGATCAGCCCCTTGCCACTCTGGAGAGTGGGACATATCTCTGAGGTAGAAATGACCTAATTTGTTGTAGGAACCTTTCTTCCAATACATTCCCATTACATATCGGTCTGCATCCTCGGGGCCAGGATGTTCAATATTTAACATTAATTTCATAGGGGTACTTCCTCCAGGCTTTCTTAAAGTCATTCTTTGAAGGAGGGATCTACCCTGATTGTCTATCTTAGATAAAGCACTTTTGGGTTTATAACCCCAGGCAGGCCCAGTATTCCATCCCGCAGCCCCCCAGTAGTTACAGTCATAACCCCATTGTTCATCTACTACACAAACGTAAGGGTCTTTTGCTTGTGGTATATCTTTATAAATGGCTTGAATCTGTGACTTAGGGAATGGGCACTCTACAATATCACAGTAATCAAAAGTGAATGTAGCCACATGGGTACATGATGAATTATACCAGAAAGTGTACCCACTAGCATCTTTGGTGATGGCCACCTGCTGGGCTTTAAGGAGGCCAACTAAGGAGATAATGTACCAGAGGCACATGGTTGCATAGAGTTAGCTTCCTCTGGGGCAGGTGTCTTCTTGCAGTGGGAAGCGTGGATCCAGTTAGGCCTTCCGGCCAATTTGACAGAGGTAGGGGAGATCAGGAGAACTTGGAACGGTCCGTCAAATCTTGGTTCCAGGGTGTGTTTTCGCACAAATTTCTTGACCAGAACCCAGTCACCGGGGAGCAGACTGTGGTTGCCTGTGTCAGAATCAGGATCTGGAATTTTAGAGAAAACTTGGACATGGATTTTGTTCAAAGCATTTGCGAGTTCAGTTACATAATCTACTAAAACATCAGTTTGAAGTTGTAGTTGTTGGGGAAAATAGCAACCTAGCCTAGGTGCAGTCCCAAATAGAATCTCGTATGGGGACAATGAGGTAGTATTTTTGTACAAGAGCATTCATTAGATCTTTTGATAAATGTGCAGGTCTGTGTGCCCATTGTACGACTGCTGGGTACAAATTCTTAGGGAGGCAGAAATTGAGGTTGTTGGAGTACACTCCATCCTTCAGAACTGCCCCTTTCTGTTTCCACTTCTGTATTTCTTCAGGGGCAACTGTAGCCTGTTGTTCCAGCAGGATTTTCAGGTCAGTTGGAAGAGTCTGCAGAGTAAATATGGGAGTTTCTTCATTTCCGGACACTCTTCTTCCCACTTCCTGTGGTTTTCTTGCAGCTTGTTTTGCAGCCTGATCTGCTAGATGGTTGCCCTTTGCTTCATCTGAGTCCAACTTCCCATGTGCTTTTATCTTCAAAATAGCCACTTCTTCTGGGAGTAGGAGGGCGTCCATCAGCTCCTTGATCGCGGAACCGTGCTTGATTGGTGTACCGGCGGTGGTAAGAAATCCTCTTGTTTTCCAAATTAATCCGAAGTCGTGAGCCACGCCCAGTGCATATCTTGAATCCGTGTAGATATTGGCGCGCTTTCCTTCAGAGATCTTGCATGCTGAAGTCAGGGCTTGCAATTCAGCTTCTTGTGCAGACATAGTTGATGGTAAAGATGATGATTTGACAATTTCATCTGTTGTGGTTACGGCATATCCTGTATGGTATCTTCCTTCTTCATCAGCATATCTTGAGCCGTCCACAAACAGGGTGAGATCGGGATCTACCAATGGGTCTTCATGCACAGTTGGTAGATGTGTTGTTTCCATTTTCATCTGTTCAAAACAGTCATGAGGTGTATCTGGGTCGTATTCATTCACTATGGTTAAATCTTGGAACTCATTCTCCAGGAAATGACGCGGCCATGCTTTTAGGTGGTCAGTTGTTGGATATTTGACAACACCATTTTCCTGTAGCTGTGATTCGTCCATAGTGGCCCATGCTTTTGCCATAGGCCCAAGATCATTCCATGATATTGTTTTCAACTTGGTCACAGGGACATGTGGAATGGCAGTGTCCCAATGACGGTACAAATGCTTGAGTTCCGGAGGTAGATGAATCAAGACCATACTGTTGCCTTCAGAATCACAGTAGAAGTCTTGTGCAGTGAGTTTTACTTCGACCAGATTATAGAGTTCATCTTCATAGCAGGGTTCAGGAGTGATGTTTGGTTTGTACCACATGGTACAGAAGGCATATCCTGCTCCGTCATGAAGGAGTGCTTGTCCATCATGAAAGGATAGGTTGGGATGCATTTCCTTCTTGATGGTGCCAGTGAGAAGAAAAACATAAGTTTCGTCCATGATGAATCCGTAGTATACACCCCCCTCAGGGAGTGGCAGAAGAGTGGACGGATTGAGAACTTGACATCTTTGGAGGGTAATGTTGTCAGGCAACAAAAGATGACATTGAAGGCGAAGATGCCTAGCAGGAGTAACATGCTTAAGTTGGACCTGGTTGACTATGGCAGAAATGTCATGAGGGGCCAAGACAACCAGGGGGTGGCCAAGGACAAGATCCCCAGTTCTTTCAATGAGCTCTCTGGCAGCAAAGACGGCCCGAAGGCAAGAGGGACGTCCTCTGGCCACAATATCCAGTTGGCAGGAGAAAAATCCAATAGGCCTTTGGCGGCCTCCAGGACCATGAGCCTGAGTGAGTACTCCTGTTGCATGGCCTTGTCTTTCAGAAACAAACAATTTGAAGAAACAAACAATTTGAAGGGTTTGGTATAGTCTGGTAGGCCAAGAGCAGGAGCAGAAGCAATAGCACGTTTGAGAGAACAGAAGTTGTCAAGGGCTTCTGTGGACAAGCAAAATGGGTCTGACTTGAGAGCATCATAAAGAGGTTGCATAAGGAGCGAGGCTTCTGGGATCCATGCTCGGCAATAGGAAATGAGGCCCAGGAAGGCGTGTAGTGACTTCGAGGTCCTTGGAGGTGGAATGTCCAGTACCGCTCTAACTCGGTCACGGGTAAGATGTCTGGTTCCCTGAGACAGACAATGGCCAAGGAAGATAACAGTAGGTTGGCAGAATTGCAGCTTGAGACGTGAAGCTTTACATCCTTGTTCTGCTAGGTAGCAAAGAATATTAAGTGAGCATTGTTCTGTTGTGGGTATATCATCTCCACAAAGCAGCAAATCATCCACATATTGAAACAGGACGACCTCAGGGTGGTCAGATTGCCATGGATCAAGGATAGAGCACATGGCCTTCGCAAATTGACTTGGTGAATTTTGTGCCCCTTGGGGCATGACAGTCCATGTGTACTGTTGTTTTTCATGTGTGAAAGCAAACAGATATTGGCAAGTTGGATCCAGGGGAACACTGAAGAAGGCATTGGCCAGATCAATGACAGTGAAGTACTTGGCAGAGGGTGGAACGCCGGAAAGGAGAGTGTGTGGGTTGGGCACTATTGGAGTGTCCAAAACTGTGGCTTCATTTACTGCTCTGAGGTCTTGGACCAATCTGTACTTTTCTGGTTCGCCTTTTGGAGTCTTTTTCTTTACTGGAAATAATGGAGTATTGCATGGTGATTCACATTTGACAAGAGCACCCTTCTCCAGGAGTGCTTGAATTTGAATTGTAATGGCTGCAGCTTGAGCTGGTTTCAAAGGATACTGTGATTTTCGTGGCAATTTTACGCCTGGGATGAGCTTTACCACCACAGGCGGGACCTTTAGATGGCCTATGTCCTCTGGGCCTGTGGACCACAGCTTGTTGGGAACATCAGTCTTTAGTGAATCAGGGAAATTAGTCCTTAGGTCTTTTGCATCCCCATGAGGCTCTTCTAGATGTAGCATCAGGGGTAAGGAGCACAAAGCTGAGGTGTCTGAGACAGATAGAGGGGTGGATAGTTCCACTTGTCCATCTGGAGTAAAGGTGATGGATGCCTGCAGGCGTGAAAGAACATCAGCTCCTAACAGGTTAATGGGGCATGTGGAAGATACCACAAAGCGAGCAAGCAAGTTGTGGCAGTTACCAACCCGCAGTGGGGTGGACAGGGGACTTTGCCTTGGAAGGCCGTCCACCCCAACACAGGAGACATCAATATTGGAAAGAAATGAGGTATCGGGCAGGTCTTGTTCTCTCAGAACACTTCGGGCTGCACCTGTGTCAACTAGGAAAGTGGTGGGCTGGCCCTCAATGGGTAAAATTACAGTAGCTAGAGGCCCCCCTTGTTCCCCTGAAGACACTGCCATGGCAGGGGCATTAAGCATCAGCGGGTTTGCTCTCCTCAATATGGGCTGTGTTACTGACTCAAACCCCTTTTGTATGTCATTAGCCATAGCTTTTTGCAGTCTGAACATGTCTATCATTATAAATAATGGTTAATAGTAAGTTAAGTAAAGTTCCTATATGTCTTTGGATAAAACATTAACTATTGCGGTACTATCATTTATATCAATTAGACTATAACAATTATACCACCCTGTAACTAAAATGAATAACCAGTAGTGGCTGGGTTAATAAACATGTCACAAACCCTTCTAATGCTAAACCATCATTTAAAGTAAAGGATGTTACTGTAAACATAAGATCTGTAACTAGCAAGATTCGATTAAGTAAAGATATAATGTTTAAAATAACTTGCATTATTTGGCTATTTCCCTTGTTGCAAGATTAATCTGGATAATCAGCTGTTATGCTCTTATATTCGTGTCCAACAGATTTCATATGTAGGTCACACCACATTTGCAAATTACATTTTAGCAACCTTCTTTTTTTTTTTTATATCACGGACAAATTGCTGATACAGGGAAACAAATGGCATGATTGTTTTAGTAATTATAATGTTTCAGTTCATAATATGTAGAGTGTAAGGGAAACCACGTCTCTAAATGGGACGAGCATAATAGGGGTAGGCCTCATGATGGAGGCAGCCATGACAGGGGCGGGGAAGGAAATGACAGCAAGGGAGGAAGTGAGAGGGGTGACGTCCATGATATGTGTGGGAAAGGAAGACAGGAGGTGTGGGCATGGTAAGGGCGGAAGTGACGTCACTTTCAACAATACACTATATTATAACTATTAAAATAAGTCAGAGAAGCAACATTCCGTTCTGCAAAATGAAATACTAAACTATGAACAGACCTGGCAGGTTAAATAAGACAGTTGAGAACATTATGCATTTAACAGCCCATACAGCTGTTTCTAGAAACATGTACTTTAAAATAACTTTAAAATAATAAAATGATGCAAAATAAACTCGCGGAATTCAACCAAATTCCCTTATCTTCCTCAAACCATTAATCACTTTCCTCCTC